AAAGACAATTCAATGGAGAATTTTTTCTCAATAAATAAATAAATAATGCTGGAACAACCATATATTCACATGCAAATAAAAATAATCCATGAAAGAGAAAATTTATACACTGGACTCCATTAAAATTAAAATTTTTATTCTGCAAAAGACACAGAAATGAGAGAATGAAAAGAGTCCACTGACTGGGAGAAAATCTTTGCAATACATATCTGGTAAGAGGACAGTATCTAAAATACACTAAAAATTCTTAAGAGTACTTACTCTTTAAGAATAAGAGTAATAAATTAAACAATCCAATTAAAAAGTGAACACAATATTTGAACAGACATTTCGCTAAGAAAAAAATACAGATGGCATATGCTTACAAAAAGATGATCAATATCATATGTCATCAGAGAATTTAAAATTAAAACAATAGTAAGACACCATTACACATTTATTAAAGAGGCTAAAATCCAAAACACTGAGAACACCAAATGCTGACAAGGTTATGGTGCAATAGCATTTATTGCTGGTGGGGATGCAAATTGGTACAGCCACTTTGGAACCCATTTTGACAGTTGCTTATGAAATTAAACATACTCTTAATGTACAATCTAGCAGTTTCACTGCTTGTTATTTAATTAAACAAGTTTAGAACTTCTGTTCACCCATAAGCTTGCACAAGAATATTTATAGCAGTTTTATTTATAATTTCTAAAACTTGGAGGTAACCAAGATGTTCTTCAATAAATAAATGGATAAATAAACTGTGGTACATCAAGACAATGGAATATTATTCAGCAATAAAAAATGAGTTATCATTCCATGAAAAGACATGGAAGAAACTTAAAAGCATATTGCTTAGTGAAAGAAACCAAGCTGAAAAGTTTACATAATGTATGATTCTAACTATACGGCATTCTGGAAGAGGCGAAACTATGGAGATAGTAAAATGATTACTGATTGCTAGGGGTTCTGTTTAGGAGGAAGGGATGAATAGGTAGAGAACAGGATGCTTAGGCACATGACACTATTCTGTATGACACTGTAGTGGGGGATCTACACCATTATACATCTATCAAAACACATAGATTATGCAACACAGAAAGTGAACCTGAATGTAAACTATGGAATTTAGTTAATGTAACAATTTTGGCTCATCAGTTGTAACAAAGATAGCACATAATTCAAGATGTTAATAATAAGGCAAATTGTGTGGGTGGCAGGGGGAGTTGAGGGGTTATAGGAAAGCTCTGTACTTTCCACTAAATCTTTCTGTAAATCCCAAGCTGTTCTGAAGTCTATTAATTGTTTTGAAAAAAGTTCCTGATGGCTTTTTACTACTTTAGAACAAAATTTAAACTTTTCACTTTCCTTTAAGGTCCTTCATGCTGTGCTTCCTATCTCTCTTTCTTACTTCATCTTCTATGGCATTTCACTTGTCCCAAATATCCTCCATTGTGTTAATCAGATATAATAAAACTTTCCAATTCAGGACTTCTACAATTGCTATCCCCTAGGTGATATTTTTACCATAAATCTTCACTCCTTCCCTTCATTCATATGCCTTTAAGTAAAACTTGAATTACCAATTCATCAGCAGTTCTTTTTGCACAGGACATCAGAGCAGATGATATGTTCTTATGTATGTTTCTCGTGTTTCACTTACATAAGAATGAAATTTTATAAAACCAGGTGCCTCATTTGTCCTGTCTGTAACTGTCACTTTACAACTGCTTCACAGTCTATAAAAATGGCCATTATGTAATATTCATAAAATTAATATTTGAATCAATTAATTATTACAATTTTATAGGTGAGAAAAATAAGAAGTTGAAAGTTTGATGGCTTGTTAATATCTGTTCAGGTGGAATGTCAGAGGAAGGGAATCTTATTTCCTACTGTCTCTCTGACCATTGGCTGTTCCTCTATAATAGACCATGAGGCAACACAGCATAGGACAGTCCTACCATCACTGGCATAATTTTAGGGAAATAGAGTGGTATTCATGAAGGCTGGCATAAAGTTTTTGTCAATTAGGATGTAATAAAAGCTTAAGTAAGTCACAGTGAAGATGATATTCAATAATATATATTAGATTCAAATGTATGGATTTTTCCTAAAATACAGTGTATGTTGATTTTCACTTACATACATTACATATCAAAACAGAATCCCATCATTATGGTCTACAAATACTAGATCTCCACATTTATTGCTCTGGGTAATGAGCTTTTTCCTATAGCCTCCTAGGTCACCTCTAGTCTCTGATATCATTAGTTAAAATGTATTTTAACAAGAGAAATTAAATGCCCAGAATTTTTTGACCTGAGGATTGAATGGTGTTACATATCAATCAACAGATATTTGAGACCTCGTGTGGGTAAAGTTATTACACTCTGGGCTATACAACAGAATGAGAGGTTCATTTCTTTCTCAGGTTTATGCACATTTAGGGCCATTTATTTAATGTTACAGTGAGATCATAAATTCAAGGATAAAATATATAATAAAATTATTATATTCATTCTTAATTTGGTGGGTTTGAAAACTTTTCATATCATTTTTCTGCTCCCTTGAAGACCCAGAAATGCCCCTTTTAATAGGTCTAAAATAAATGAAAATTTGAGAGGGCATTTAATTAACTTTAAATAAGTGTTTTCAACAAAACTGAACTGTGCATAAATATAAAATATCAGCTTAATTGATATAATCATTTGTAGCTAGATAATACATATAGTTAAATTATCATCTGTTACCTATATTATAATATAGTTCTGTTCCCCCAAGTAATTTAAGTTGATTTTATTGAGATAATAAACATTTATTGATGAAATGAGTGGCCTATCATACATAGTGGCATACTATTTTAGATGCTTTAAAACTTGTTACTGCTCTAATCTTCACAATGACATTTGAGTGTCATTTGTCATTTCACTAACATTGCACATCATTTTATACTTCAACTAGGTAACTGCAGATCTTAATGAGATTTTAGTAGTAACAATATGCACTATCATAAAATTTGTGAGCTCTTATGGTGAAATTAAGGTCCAATGCTTGTATGGAGTTGTAAACTTCCTGAAACAGCTCAAGTAAATGGAGACTAGTGCCCATGGCTGACTTAAGGCAAAATTTATCTCATACAGTTTCATGCATTCTTTTTGGAGTCTCTGCTCCTTTCTGTACAATCAATTATCACGTCAGTACTTGAGCCACAGGGCACTTGATGTCCAGGGATTTCCTTTCAAGTTTAGAGGGATTGGTAATCCTTAAATAATCTAATCTTTTTTCCTTAACTGTGTAAAAAGACACTGAAACTCAGAAAGGCTCTGATCAATGACATACAACTAAGGTGTTATAGAAATAGGTAGAGAAATGGGTTTTATTGATTCATATTGCCTGTGTATTTGAGTTGTGACTATTTCAAATAAAAAGTAAACAATCTGTAACCGTATTTTGGAAATTCACTGGCCAGAGGTCAAATGAATGAAAGTTTAAGATGTTAAGTCCAATACCATTGTATAAGGGAGAGAAAGAAATATTCATGAGATCACTATCAGCAGTAATTATATAACACAAAGAAAGAAACTGGATGTTATATGTTGGAAGTAATATGTGTATGTGGTGGGGGAGGTCACATGCTTTGCCAAGCCATGTTACTCTATCAATATTAAATATTCATTGAAAACATCATATTACTTGACCCATCAATAACAATTGACAAAACTGATCACTCCCATCCTTAGTTTTCAGAACTTCATACATATTTGATTTTTCCTCTTACTTAAGTGGTTATTTCTATTTAATCTCCTTTGGTCTCTCCTCGATGCTTTCAATTCCAGATATTGGACTGTCCAGGGCTCCATCCTTGGACTTCTCATTCTCTCGGTGCTCACATTTAGTGTGGAACTCCTGATTGTTTCTGCCACCCAAATCTGTTCCACCCATTCATCTCAGTCACATGAAATATTATCTTTCTATATGTTTCAACCAAAATCTTTGACATGATATTCAACTTTTCTCTTGGTTCTATAAATTACTTCCAATCTATTAGCAACAATAGATACAGATGCAGGCACCTCTTTGCTGTCACTAAAGCTCTCATGTTGGTCCAAGCTACAGATATCTCTTCCCTGCATTCATACATTGTTTCCCTGCATCTGCAATTACTTTCCTTTAGGCTGTTCTACACAATACATCTAAAGTTATTACATCATTCCTCCACTTAAAGCCCGCCATTCATTTACTTACTTCTTCATCAACTATTCATTCTGCATTCGTTCATTGATTTAGTCATCAAATATTTTCATGTGGTAGACCCTCTTTAGATGCTTGGTATCTACCACTAAACAAGCAAAAGTGATGCCTGCCTTCATAAGTTCACATTCAAGCAAGGAAGAAACATACAATAAACAACATATATGACTTAGAACATAAATTTTTAATTTTAGGAAAAATAGTAAATATAGATCATAGTAAGGGGGATCCAGAATGCTAGGTCTATAATGGTGGAGAGAGGCACAAGCAGGCTGCAGTATTAAAGTAGGTGGTTAGAGTAAGCCTCATGAGAAGGTGAGATTTGAGCACAGATTTGAGGAAGATAAAAACTAACATGTACATCTGGAGCAAGAGTGTTCTGGACAGAGGGAACAATAGCCACAAAGTCAAAAGTAGAAGCCTATCTGGAGTGCCCTAATCATTTTGCTCCTGTAATACTACTCCCTAATACTTGAGTTTTCTTCCCATGCTCCTATACAAGGGTCTTCATTTCTGGGGCTCCTTCTTCCTGGAATGTGCTTTTCAGGGTATTTGCAAGGCTCAAGTATGAAACTTTTCCATATCTTTGCTCAAATTTACTATCAGAGAGATCTTCCCCTGGCCGTATTATTTAAAACTGCAATTCCTCTTACCTGGCACTATCCATCTCCCTTCTCTGCTTTAATTTTGACAATTCTACTCAGCATAATCTATTGTACTATATAACTTATTTGTCTTATCTGTTGTCTATCTCTCAGTCCAAAGGAAAGGTGTGCTGTCTGGAGGAGAAGCCCAGGGACTGGGGCAAGCTGGCCCGAGCCTTGGGGAACTATGCCACCGTCATCTCCCACAACCCGGAGACCAAGAAGACCCGCGTGAAGCTGCCCTTGGGCTCAAAGAAGGTCATTTCTTCAGCCAACAGAGCTGTGGTCAGTGTGGTGGCCGGAGGTGGCCGCATCGACAAGCCCATTCTGAAGGCTGGCTGTGCCTACCACAAGTACAAGGCAAAGAGGAATTGCTGGCCACGTGTGCGGGGAGTGGCCTTGAACCCTGTGGAGCATCCTTTTGGAGGTGGCAACCACCAGCACATTGGCAAACCCTCCACTCTCCGCAGAGATGCCCCTGCTGGCCACAAAGTGGGTCTTATTGCTGCCCGCCGGACTGGGCGTCTCTGGGGAACCAAGACTGTGCAGGATAAGGAGAACTAGGGTTGAGGGGCTCAATAAAGTGTGTCCTTCTGCCACTAAAAAAAAAAAAAAAAAAAAAAGTGCAGGGATTTTGTGTATTTTGCTTATTGTACTATCCCCAGCACCTAGAACAGTGCCTGGAACTACTTCTTTGGGCTACTCTATATTTTTTATTATTTTTAAATTTGCATTTATTTTTTAATTTATATTCTTTAAAATTTTAATTCCAGTATAATTAATATATATGTTATATTAGTTTTAGGTTTACACAATTATAGTGATTCAACAATTTTAAACATTACTCAGTGTTTGTCATGATAAGTATACTTTTATTTATTTATTTATTTATTTATTTTAAAGATTTTATTTATTCATTTGAGAGAGAGACATTGAGAGACAGCATGCGTGAGGAGAAGGTCAAAGGGAGAAACAGACTCCCCATGGAGCTGGGAGCCCGATGTGGGACTCGATCCCGGGACTCCGGGATCATGACCTGAGCCGAAGGCAGTCGTCCAACCAACTGAGCCACCCAGGCATCCTGATAAGTACACTTTTAATTCCTTTCACCTATTTTACTCATTCCCCCACATGCCTCCCCTGTGGTAACCACCAGTTCTCTATAGTTAGAAGTATGTTTTTGGTTTGTCTCTTTTTTCTTTGTTTATTTGTTTTCTTTCTTAATTTCCACGTGTAAGTGAAATCATATGGTATTTTTCTTTCTCTGACTGACTTATATCACTTTGGGGTGCTCTCTATTTTAATCTAGTGAATGGAGTTAGCAAAGCATTGAATAAATATTTATTGAATGAAAAAATGGATGCTTGGGTGGTTCAGTCAGTTAAACATGTGCCTGGCTGGGGTCATGATCCCAGGTCTTGGGATTGAGCTCTGAGTCAGGCTCCCAGCTCAGTGGAGAATCTGTTTCTCCCTCTCCCTTTGCCCCTCGTCCCTGCTCCTGTGCATGCTCCCCACCTCTCTCTCTCTTTCAAATACATAGATAAAATCTTTTTTAAAAAAGTGGATGCTTATTTTAGAATCCCTAAATTCTCCACTAGCATTGCCCATTAAAATGGAACAAACAGATAAATACTATAGTTATGTAAGATACTAACATTAGAGGAGGCTAGGTTAAGGGTATACTGGACCCCAACTCATAAGGTTGGTTAAAGTCCTTGCATCTTTAAGTATTTAAATGATAATATTGGATTTCTCACAAACTGTAGATCAGCTGGATGGGTAAAATATGACTTCTCAGAAGGGAGCTTCATGTCATTAAAGTGTATTGACTGGAATGCTGATCAAACATTTTTGAAAAGATGTTTAATATTTGGAGCTCCTGGGTGGCTCAGTCAGTTAAGTGGCTGCCTTCAGCTCAGGTCATGATCCCAGGGTCCTGGGGTTGAACTCTGCATTGGGGTCCCTGCTCAGGGGGAGTCTGTTTCTCCCTCTCCTTCTGCCACTGCCTCCTTCTTGTGCTCTCTCAAATGCTATCTCTCTGTCTCAAATAAATAAATAAAATCTTTTAAAAAGAGATGTTTAATACTTTCTAAAAGTGGCTGCTATCTATAAACACAAAAAAGTTCTGTCCAGCTCCCTTTACAAGTTTGAGACACTTTCCCCCCCCCTAAAATTCTGTAGTTTTTTGGGTGGTATTTGTACTCTTGGTGAAGTACCAGCCCGCCTGGGTGGAAGGAAACCAGACATTCTGGAGTCCTTTGGCTTGGTGCAGTCCAATCTGCCAGACTACGGGTTTCATGCTAGGACAGTACCTCCCAGAGAAGGTCACTTAACAACTGTGTGGTCATGGTAAAATAAGGGGTAATGCTACAGGTGTATCCATTTTGATTTCTGTACATGGGTAAGTTAAGGATCAAACTTCATTCCTTTAAATCAGTTGTCCCAAGCCCAATTTTCTAAAAAACCCTACCCTTTCTCCTATCAAATTATCTTGGCATCCTTGTCAAAAATCAATTGTTCAAAAAAAAATCAATTGTTCATACATGTAAAAGTTTATTTCTAGATTCTAAGTACTATGCCAGGACTATACTGTCTAGAGCACTTTGCAGTAAGTTTTAAACTAAAGAATTATGAATATTCCAACTTTGTTCCTAGTTTTCAAGACTATTTTAGCAAAACTATGTCCCTTGTATTTCCACATAAATTTTAGAATAAGCTTGCTAATTTCTGCTACAGATCTAGATTGGGTTTATTGAGGATTGTGTTGAATTTGTACATCAATTTGGGGAGTATTGCCATCTTAACAATATTAAGTCTCACAATATATGAACATGGGGTGCCTTTCCATTTATTTGGGTCTTTTTAAATTTCTTTCAACAATATTTTGTAATTTTCAGTGTGCAGATTTTATGCCATTCTTTAATTGATTCCTATGTATTTTATTCTTTCTGATGCTGTTGTTAAATTAATAATTTACTTAAATTTATTTTTGGGTTCTTCATTCCCAGTATATTGAAATATAACTAATTTTTATATGTTGATCTTGTATACTGCAACTCCTGGCCTTGTTTGTTAGAGATACTTTTAAGGGCAAAGTACAATGGGGAGTCAAACTTAACATATTTATGTTTCCTTAGTCTGAAATATTATGTTGTGAAAGCATGCAGAATATGTCTAGCTATAGACATGGTGAGGCTGAATAATGCAAGAAGCCATGCCAGATACCTGTATCCTGAGATCTGGAGGACAAGGAGCCCCCTCCTGCAAGGTCTAAGGTAGTCCTTGAGAGAGACCAACATCGTTGTTTCAAATCAAGTTAAAGTACAGAGTTGAAATACTGGTATGGAGGAAGGTGAGTTAAATAATTCCAGAATCAACAAAATTCCACAGCTATTAAAAGTAAACAAGACAAGGACCTGACTATATTAACTAATAAGTTGTAATAAAATTAGTGACTATTGGCCTAAATACACACACATTAGATGATGATTTAGCATAAGACAAACTAGTTTAAGATATTTTAAAATATAGGGCATCTGGGTGGCTCAGTGGGTTAAAGCCTCTGCCTTCAGTTCAGGTTATGATTCCAGGGTCATGGGATCAAGCCCCGCATCGGGCTCTCTGCTCAGCAGGGAGCCTGTTTCCTCCTCTCTCTCTGCCTGCCTCTCTGCCTACTTGTGATCTCTGTCTGTCAAATAAATAAATAAAATCTTTAAAAAAAAGATATTTTAAAATATATTATATAGAAGGACAATTAATTCAATAGGTTATAAATCTTTATAACCTATCTCTTCTCTGCTCTAAATGACTCTGCCACTTATCAGTTCTTTCCTAAAGCATTAGGCATCTAGTGATATGTTCTCCTATACTTTCCCTTATTCATTAGTCTTCAAACTCTTGAGAAAATCTTTTTTCAAAAATTATTTTTCAGAAGCCCCATACTCAAAATACATAAAAACCGATTGAATTGAAAAGTAACTAAAATTGTATACTTCTATATATAAATGCCCTGTTAGCAGTGTTATCTATGACATTTGAGAAGCAACAGAGATATCACATTTAAAGAAGATAAATTTTATTGTCATAAAGACATTGTTTCAATCTATTGGAACAAAAATATCCATATATTATTTCTGTAATAAAAATACATTTTGAAAAACACTATAATATAGTGTGGTAAGTATTATAAAATGGGCAGAGATACAAGGTGTCATGGAAAAGCAAAAGCAAGAGTATCCATGTCAATCTTGAAGTTTACCACAAGCAACATATATATCGTGGCCTGATGGCTAAGAAGTCATTTGTCAGGTAATTCCTCTGTGGAGGAAATAGCTGTGCTTTATCTCGTAGTCCATGATCACTTCTGCTGAGGCATTCTCTTAACACCACTTCTTTGGAAAAAATCTGTATTGTATTTCTTCCAAGGAATTGCAGTTGGAACTGGCTGCCAAATAGAGACAGTATGACTATAGCCCTTTTAATCCCTTCCCGAACCTCACCCAGCTCAGTTCCAATCCCCTCTACTTTCTCTCAGCTTGGCAAAATCCTGGAGTTCTAGAGATAATTTCAAATATTGAAGAAATTAAAAATAACTATCTAGAACATCGAGAAACAGTCAGCTGTCAAGATATATGGCTCAGAGGCTAAGTGGGGAACTGAACAGAAAAGTAAGGGATTGGACATTTCTTAAGGAGAAAGAGTAAGATTTTTGAATGGTTCAAACAGGAAAATGTCATCATATCATATTAATGTCCTTAAAAGATACTCAGAATATATAGCTGTTTAACAGACTGTGGCAAGGAGAGAAGATGGTAAATAATTTGAGTTATACAATTTACTATGGGAGAAAAAAGGGTAATTTTAAGAAGAAAAATTATAAGTCAGTTGAAGTGAAAAATATAGATTTTAGTAAAAGGAAGCAAAAAGGACCCACCAGTTCTCTATAGGATACAGGAATAAGGTAAATTTGTCCTTAGACACAGTGATAGACTGATCTGGGCGACTATAAATATTGGTTGTCTAGAACTGCACAAACCACTAATAATAAGAATAAAGTGAGTATAATTATCCCCTTTAAGACTTTTAAAATTGTATTTTTATGCAAATTTGACATTTACCCCGATACCTTACATACTCCTAAATCCGTTGGAGTTTTCAGAGATTTGTGATTTTTATTCTAAGAAATTATTGCCTACATCAATGAACTGCCACTTCTCAAAGACTACATTAAATTCCAATCAAAAGGCTGGGGGAGTAGAATTATCAATATGGTATTTTAAATGATAATCATAGATAGTATCTTCATATGTAGTGAATAGAGTTACTGATTATATAATTTAAAAGTATAAAAATAATGATAAATTTAAAATTTGCCAAATGACATAAGAAAATAACATGAATATTGAAATATTACTTTTATCAGTAATTCTTCTTTCTTTGATTATAAATAGAATCAGAGTGAAATACACTATAATTAATATTTTATTTTTAATTTAATATTTCAAAAGTTATTTAAAATGTAACTCAAAATACCTCTTTGCATGCCACTGGAAAAAACTACTATAACAATTTGCCAACATAGATATTTTAGAAAAACCCTT